AATAAAATAACAGCCATAATTGTGGGTATGGTGCTGGCCGCTTATGTTAGATAGTAGTGCTTCATGATTACTGTCTTCTATGGTCTGTGATTGAGCAACCCAGAAGAAGGCACATCATCTTCAGTTGTCTTTTCAGTGCCACTTGGCCAGAAAATGTTAGGAAACTTGCCAAGAAGTACACAAAGGACGCAGTGATGGTTGTCGTTGGAAGCTTAAATCTTACTGTGAGAGAATATCACTTGACCAAAACGTGCTGCGTCTAATATCAGTTACGATTTCGGGTTTGCTCAGCTGTCAAGCAGTACTTCGAGTTTTGGGAGGCTGAACAAAAATTCAATCGCCTGCGAGAGATTATTCTGTTTTTACGCTTAATGCATGGACCTCTTTTCAAGATGATAATTTTTGTAAAAGCTAAGGCAATGTAGGTTTGGCATAACTATACAAGCGATCACTTCAATATTAGGCAAAACCGAATATTCCCTTTAGGGTTGATTTCATATCGTCAGAGCTGTGTAAGTATGGCATCCCTGCACAGGGTCTGCATGGCGGAAGATCGCAGACTGACCGCACAAATGTATTCCGCGAACTGCGTATGGGGCAGGTAATTTTCACACGGTATCAAAGCTTTAAGGAATCCTACTTCTTTTTGCTTGAGTGTCAAATCCTAGTGGCTACAGACTTAGTGAGTAGAGGTATTGACATATCAAACATCACGTAAGTAATTTCTATAGTAAAATTTTATCTGGACTAATATCTCAAAACATAATCTAGACATGTCTTAAATTACGATTTTCCTGGTGATATTGAGGAATACGTTCACAGAGTTGGCAGAACCGGTCGCGCAGGGTATGAAGTTTAAAAGATGTGCAGATACTCACAACTCGGTTGTTTCCAGGAGAAGTGGCGAGGCGATGACCTTCATAAGTTGGGGTGATCGCATGCATGCAGCTGGACTGATTTCGATCCTTGAGGAAAGCCATCAGGTTGTCTGAATGCTAGTCATTTTAATGTGCATACAGCCGCTTTCCAAGTTCTTGCAGCCTTTAAATTAGATAGCACGCTATTTTATTTTAAATGGACATTCTCAGCAAATGTTATTCAAATTTTACAAATTTGAGGAGGTACCTCGTGCACTGCGGCGGTTGGCTGCACGTCATGTGGAAAAGAAGGCAAGATCGGTTCCGAGTGCGTATCATCGCGAGAAAGAAGAAAGTTTGAGACTTTTCTATTAGTTGTACTTTTGTTTTGCGACATTTTCGTAAAGTGTTATTATATTTTTCACATTTAACGTTCAAAGCAATAGTTGTAAAGTTTGCTTGTCGTTCTTGGAACTCTACCTTTTTCCGACGCTTCTTCTCTGAAGCGTGCCATTTCATGCATGAAATATTTAGTACATATAGTCGACGCGATATGTTTGTACAACTTTATGACTTCACAGCTCTCGGACGTGGTTATAGAATAGGACAGCTTCGATCACTACAAGAAGGTAGTCCCTGATCTTTGTTCTTCTCATACATTCTTTTTCGATGAGTAGTTGCTTTTGTATTCAACTTCAAACAAGTGCGGGAAATCATTGGCAGAAGCGGTTCTTAGGTGACCAAGTTTTTGTTAACTTGATTTCTAGATTTTGTTTATCAGTCATCGTTTCACCTATGAGTAGAAAGCAGAGAGTATCTGTAATCGTTTCATGCAGAAAACATTGGAAAATTTGAAGAGGCAATTCC